GAAAGATTTTTCAAGCAGCTGTATTTCTTGGAGTGAGCCTTTGTCACTGACCCACCTCACGACCAAGCCTCACGGGCTCACGACCAAGCCTCCACGGTGTAGCCTGAGTGTTTTCACATGGACGAAAAAAAACAACAGACCTTAGATGAACCATGTACCCTCTGGTAATTTAACATAGCTATTGAAAATCACCATTTTTAATGGGAAAATCCACTATTAATGGTCATTTTCAATAGCTATGTTAAATTACCAGAGGGTAAATATCCATAGACTTGTTCTATAATGGGCAGAATAATAGGCTCCTGTGTTTGTGTGTATGCACTAAACTACACAGCCACTCTGGACCCGCAGCCGCAGTTGGATTTTTCGTTGGATTGTCCCAAAAAAATTGCCCTGGCTCCCCTGGCATCCATTGGACGCCACGTCAGCCCACAAGGCCATGAAACGTCCCTCCATCTTCAAATTCGACAGGATCGCTTCCGCGTCTTCCTCGCCACATCTTTGGTTGGCCATCATGACCTGCACGAAAGCTAGGGCCATGGCATGTTTTTCGATGGCCATGGGGGCATGGCACGAAATACTATCCTGATGGTCTTGAACTATCTCCCTTGAACTATCCCAAGAGTAAAACCTCATTCATCATCCCCAGTAGATGATGAACTTGCCACAAAACAGCTGTCAAGGATTAAAACCACCAAGCAGAAGCACAGGCCCGTTGCTGAAGTCCACAGACTTACGTATGGGCCAAACGTATTGGACCGCCCAAATGGAAAGTCTAATTCTCAAAATGACATGCCATTTCTGGATTGACTATGATTTATTGGTACCCCATAATCCCCATATGGGTATATCTCAAAATGGTACCCCCAAATCATCCAGAATTGGACTATTTTATCGACTATTTTAGTGTTAAAACCCATGGGTCAAACCTCATTTTCTCATCAAAATAGCCCGTCGATTGTCACCCTCTGATGGCTCTAATTATGGGCTAACTATGGCTATTATGGCTACTATGTTGCGGTTACCCTCCAGTAAATTAACATAGACCCTGCCATTTTTCGAGATGAGTTTCCACCAAAAATGGGTGATTTTCAGGGTCGAACTGCTCATTGACCAGAGGCTACTATGGTTACCTTTACCAAATCCCTCTGGGAAGTCCCCTAAATGGATTATCCCATCTAGAAATGGGTGAGCTATGGCATCTATCTATGGTTACCTTTACCACCAAAAACAGCCCAAGAAATTCCACCGAAATCTCACCTCCTTCATCGCCGTGTAGATATCTTCCGGCACTTGTCGCGCAGAGCCGCAGACGTAGAAGTGGCCTCCCTGGTTCAGCATCCTCTCGGCCACATCCGGGCCAGCCTGGCGCTGGCAATGCGGTAGGTATATATATATACGCATGTATATGTATGTATTATAGATTACATAGCGATTATAGATCATAGATTCTATATTATAAATTATATGTTATATATCTTATATATATATATATATCGTGTATATATATATATATATGTATATATATATATATATCGTGTATATATATATATGTGTGTGTGTACGTATGTATATATATTATATTATAATTTGTATCTTATACGTTTTGTTTTCAAATTCTCTGAGCTCTGAAAGTATGTATATATAATTATATATATATTTATATACCAATATATGTTTTCGACCATGATCCTGAACAACTTACAAACTAGCATGCACATCCAAAGGAAAATGCCCCAACAATGCTGGACAGCAATAGTGAAGAACCGCCTCAACGATCCGGTGCTGCACATAGATCTTTCTCGCCTTCGCAACAGGGTCCACCATCCCCAAATTTACCATAGACGGAAGGTATAGTATAAACCATCAATCCATATTAGGGTGGTTTATGACATTGCTTTACAGACAGTGTTTCTTTTCTGGGTCCCGTATTGAACATGTTGGGAGATGTTGGGAGGGAATTATTATGAATCAGACTATGAAGAAAAGATGGGATTGAAGTGGTGATTTGTTGAAACGATTTGCAGGGTTGGAAGCATTCAGCTGATGTCGATGATCACACCATCTAGTTCCAACTCGCATCTCAACTCGCTAGTCTCATGTTCTAGATGGCAGCACTTGAAGAGCGCTCGACTATCTACACTGGTCAGTTCCTTTTAAATTAACGCCAACAAACAGCCAAGTACATGGGCATACACAAACACACAAACCACACCTTTCAATACATTTGGCACTTGTTCGCTCATGGCAACATCCTACATGGCCAGCTGGAGTCGCCTGCTCTCGGGAGAAGGCTGTGTGCATCTGCAAAACGCCTTCCTTCTCGTACTTCTCAAATTCTTCCCGGTAGAGCCACTCCTGGGGTATAAAAGATATAAAAGCCATGGGACAGCTTCCAAAATCATCCGAAATTGCCATGAAATTGCCATGACATATATGGTAAAGTCTATGCAGTTTCCCTGAAAACCATTCAAAAAGGGCCTGATTTCATGGGAACATGCCGTGTATCCAAAAAGCACTCCTCAGCCGACTTCCGCACCCACCGGTCCTGCTTGTATCGGGCTCCAAAGAAGAGCATGCACTTGCCAACTTTGATGCCCTGTCTCGCTTGCATCACGCGCTCCTGACGTCAACATCTGATTATTTATCTCAAAGTGATCAATAAATCAATAACCATTGTTATTTCGTGATTAACACAGGTGTATATAGGATAACCATGGATAACCCGAATGGGGACTTACTTACTTACTAGTCACAATCGACTGGTTTTTTGTGTCCCGGTCCTGGGTGACTGCCCGCCATGGAGCCAAACCAGTACCCATGCCAGCCATAATCACCGGCTTTTCAGGCTCCTCCCAGCGTGCTCAATGTGTTCTTTAAATCATCGGGCACTGGTTTCTGGATATTTCTGGATACCAGGTGGAAAATTGAAAGTTATAAGTTGGTGTATAATCCTCATAACTATAGATATACTCCCATAAACCCATATTAGGGGGGTTCTTAAAATGGGGGTTCCCCAATCGTCACGATGGGTTTCAATACTAAACTGATCCTTCATGACTTGGATGATTTGGGGTGCCAACATGTGCCAACGCCCCTTCCACGCCTTTGGCAATACAATGGCACTGGAGCGAACTTGGCACATGATCTGCGCTCCGGGCTTCTGCTGTCGCATGTAGCCTGCACCGCCGCAAAGGGCATCTGCTGGGTAAATTCTTGTTGTTTTTGTTAGGAATGGAAATGAGCTAATGGGGACAATTATCATTGGGGATGATTAGATACATATCATGATGATTATCGTGGGGGATAATTAGTACTAAGATGGGGATGGGGACCGTTAGTGGTGGTTAGTTATTGTTATTATTATTATTAATTATTATTATTATTATTAGCAAACCATATTATTTTCTGGGGGCGTTAGAAGTTGAACTAAAACCATTGATTATGATTATGATGAATCTTAGTCTGTTTGTTATTGGTATTATTGGTATGTATTTATTATATTGCGGATGCCTGCTAATGAGCTGCTACAGTAATGAGCTACTAATCAGGTGCTAATGAGCTGTTAATGGTTTCAAGATGTTTCAAATCTACATAAGATCTGCAATATAATACTCATAGGATATCATATATACTATAATACATTATAATACTATATATATATCATATGATTGCAGCTGAATTCAATTACGGACCTACATGGACCTAAAATCATGGAAAAAATGACACGCATCAGTGCAGTATCCCGGCCTGTGCATTCACCCAATCGAAGCTCCTTGGTGGTCTCCACTGTCCAGTCAACCAGTACCACGCAGAGCTGGATCTTGTCCGGATGCATCAAAGGAGAGCTGGCAATGGAGTAGCTCCTGGGTTTCAACACCGGCATCATCTGCAACAAGTGCTCGATGGGAGGTCGGGCGCTTGCAAACTTCTTGAGCACATCTGCATGGTGATAGAAGTCTTGGGTCAGGTCGCGATAGAGGGCGGCTCCCTCCTTGCTATTCTCGACAATGCTTTGCAGCTGCTTCTTTTCTCCCTCGTCCTTTGCAAAGAGCGCAAGAGTCTGGTAGAACTTTCGGTTCGGCTTTCCGAAAATATCAAGCACATGGGAGAAAAGCTGTCGCACACTCAGCTCTGTAGGGCACCAGTTGCGGGCTCCGTCCAAAGGAAGGACTCTCAGGTTCTGCGCAGGGTCAAAGCCCATCATTTGACAGAATTCCAAGACCTTGTCCTCTGGGTTGCGCGGCCAGATGGCCAGACTTTCACCAGTCTTGTAAGATACATTGGTGCCCTCGATCTTAAATTCATAGTGACGAATGTCTCGATCATACTTGGCATCACCAGTCAGCACGTTGTTCATGAGCAAAGTGAGTCGGTTGGCACCAGGTGGGATGATGTCGTCGTCACTCACAGGTGGCTTTCCCAGAGTACCTGGAGAGGCATCAACTCTGTAGGATGGGGCTGGAATGTCCTGGCTCAGTGGCAGGGCTGGGGCTCCGAGGACCTTCCAAAGCTCTGGCAACCAGGCTTCCCATCCAGTGTAGTAGCGATCCTCGTCACGGTCGTCTCCCACACCGCGCTTGAGCATGCGCTGACCACCAAGCTCACCCAAGCGCGTATCAAAGCCTGCTGCAGCCACACAGAACTGGCTGTAGGTTGAGTCGCCCAAGCCAAAGACGCAGAACTTCACACCTGACAGCCAAGACATTGGCAAGTCTGCCGACTGCAGCTTCAGCCAAGTCTGCTTGCAGTTGGCTGGGTACTCTCCCAATCCACAGGTGGAGACGACCAAAATCATGATCTTCTGATTGGGCAGCTCCTCAAATTCAAAGTCATCCAGCGAGCTCACCGTCGCCTTCAAACCACGAGCAATCAAATCTTGCATCAGATTTTTAGCCTGCTCCTCGGCATTGCCACTCTCACTGCCGTACAACACAGTGATGGAATCTCCAGAGCTCTTGGCATCTGAAAGGCCTTCCACCAGCTTGCTGAATTGGCCC